AATGAAAGATAGATGCAATCCCCCAGAACAAAATCGTAGTTCCCCTGGGGTGGGACCAAGAGAACAGTAGGCCGGGTGAATTACAGCAGTTGGATATGTGAATTTTGAAGACAGAGTAAAACAACTGAAGCTAAATCGTTTATAAAATTGCTCACAACATGCCCAGATATCTTGCTGTCAATTTTGTCAAGGTTGGGAACCAAGCATCTTGTCTAGGGGGAGAGAGCACAACTTTGTAGTCCCCACAGTCTTGGCCGGGCTTCAAAACCTTTTTTTGTACAGAATAAAGGAATGGAACAGACTACCCGCCTTCAAAGCAGTCATAGCTGAACCATTTAAAGAAGAGTGCCAAAAGGTGTCTGATAATGTAGCTACAAAAAGGGGGGGAATGATTTTTTTTTTTTTAGCTAACATAGGTAAAATTTTCCTTATTCCTAGTAAGACCCCGTATTGTAGATAGTCTTAAGACCTCGTGTGTAGTGTCTTTTTAGTTGATAATAAGATTTTCTTCATTATAGAAAATAAGAAATATTATAACCCTTTTTTTAATAAGGTAAAGGCCCCCCAGTGGAATAAGTCATTTGACTTTTTTGGGGTTTATCGGGGTTTTACACATTGTGCTATGTATTTAATTCTTTTAATGTATTTGTGTATACCGAATAAAATTTTATTTATTCTTTTAAGGACTTCAGCCCTCCACTTCAGAAAACGGCTAAAATAAATGGGGTTTTGGTTACAAGAACGTCTCTGTTGTTGACGAATGTTGACAAGGGTCCGGATATGAACAAGTCGCATGATGAAAATGCAAGGGAAAAATTTTTTGTAATTGTAAAACAATTACCCCCGGGGTTTTAAACAAAAGGGGGGTACCAGACTTTTTTCAGTGAAATTGCTCGGTTAGGAGTGTCACTTGTAAGAGTAAAAGTAAGTTTCTCTGTTTAAGCTTTGGTAACGAAATTATTTGTTCGCAAGATGGCTGCCTTGTAGTGATGTTAATAAAGGGGTCCCTGTTGTTTGGGCTTTATCAGAGGATTGGGGCCCCCCTTCTATTGGGGCTGTGGCTCCTTTTTGGGTTTAATGTCCCCATGAAAAAAAAAGAATAATAAGATTTTTTTTTTTTGATTTTGCCCCCGAAGTGGGTAGTTTATTGGCACCCCCCACCATCCCGTGGACGGGACGCGAGACATATGGATACACAAAGGCCAGGAAATAGGCCCCAAAAGGGGTTTAAAGGAAAAACATGTGGATTTTTAATCACATATCTATAGTTCCTTATCTGTTACAACAAATTTTTGGAAATTTGTTAGTATATCGGTTCTTATTTTCATTAATAAATTCTTGACATGTCACATAGGTTATTTTTGTCTGTCTCTGTATTTCCCATAAGGACAAAATTTAAACACTAGTGTTCAAGAGGTGACCTTGCCTGATCCCAAAAATTTACATTTGTTTGATTTTACCCTTGTGTCCCAAACTGCCAGAAGTACTTGTAACCAAGCCTAAGCCTGGCCACTACAACTCAGTCGTCTGTTCACATTGCAAGTTGCTCCATTAAACATACTTATCTACGTATATGTTATCATGTTTATGGAGCAACTTGCAATGTGAACAGACTGACTGATGTTGTAGTGGCCAGGCTTAGGCTTGGTTACAAGTACTTCTGGCAGTTTGGGAGACATAAGAATAATAAGAATGTCCTATGGTGTGACTTCCTTGGATCGAACCTGAATGCCTCTCATTCCCCTGGTTTTATAAGACCCTTATGGACTTTATGCTTCTTCGGATTAAAATATTAAGGTGTGAATTTAAACCTTCCTGTTATTGATAAAAATATTCATTAGCTTCTCACATATGTGCAGTTTACCAGTTAACAACCAATTTAGCATAGCAAAAATGCACTTAATAAGATTTTACATGCTGATGATATTTTTTTATGTTACAGTAACAGTATGTTTCGGTACTGTTATTGTCAAATGCTCATTTTAACACTAATGGTTCAGCTTCAGTGACCCATCTTGGCAGTTTGCTTCAGTCATCAGCAATCTTTCCCTGATTCGTTACCTTTCTCTCTGCTACATATATGAGCATGTCTTTGAGTTCTTAGTCACTTGCTAAAGCTCACAACATGTAAACAGAATATTGTGTACTGTAATAACGAGGGTTCTTCTATTTTATTGGTCTTTTTTCACTGAATCTAGCTGTAGTTTTTGCTTATACATAATTGACATTGTCTTGCTTTTTTGGACCACAGTTTTGCTGTCAAACAACAGAAATGAAATTTTCATTGTTGAAATAACCCCCGCTGAAAATCAGTAAAAAGTCGGGAAAAAATTACAGTTTTTTTTTGCCCTTTATACTAACTGAATTTCAGCTCACCTAATTTAAAATTTTCCTAAGATTAGTTCCAATATTATTTTAAATTTTTAGCAGGGGGGGAGGTTACTGAGTTTTTTTTTGTAAAAAAATTTAAAAATTTTTTTATGTTTGCAATCTGCAAAAACATCTTCCAGGGAAATCGGAAAGTCACAATCCCTTAAATTGCCCAGGAGA